CAGTTTTGGGATATGAATTGGGATGAAAAAAAATGTTTGTTGCTCAATCTGTCAATATTGTTAGCGTCAAGGAAAGAAAATATAAAAACAAGAAAAAATTCAGAAGACAGACTACTTATGAATACTACCTAAAACTTAGTACAGCTGAAGAAAAGTACAAAGTTTGTAAGAAATTTTTTTAATTACATTGGCAATTGGAGGGAGATGTGTATTTGACTGGGTAGGAAAGTACAAAAACTCTTTGAATAGTACAAGGGAGTCCGAAATTGAAGAGGAAGAAGCTTCTGCTTTGGATTCTTCATAAGCCAATGAAGAAAAAAATGTGCAGGCTCAACCTAAAACTGGCTCAAATAAAGCTGAGGATTCTAGAAAGTGTATTAATAATTTTTTGGATGCTCTTCCCAAAGTAGAGTCGCATTATTGTCGAAAATCAACAAAAAAGTTATATTTGGAACCAATGTGGTCTTCAAAGGCAGCTCTTTATCGTGAATATATAACATACTGCAATGCAATGAATCAAAAACCGGCTTCATCTTTCACTTTTGATGATGTTTTTGAGAGCAAAAATTTATCATTGTTTAGTCCTCGAAAAGATCAATGTGATCTTTGCACCGCTTACAAATTAGGAAATGAAAGTGAAGAAAATTATATGATACACCAAAATAACAAGACACTAGCAAGGAATGAAAAAAATGCAGATAAATTCTCTGACAACAGTAAAATTGTATTAACAATGGACTTACAAGCAGTACTTTTATGTCCCGTATTAAAGGCATCAGCACTCTATTACAGAACCAAGCTAAAAGTCCACAATTTTACAATATTCGATATAAAATCGTCTGAAGGATATTGTTTTTTGTGGGATGAAAGTGAAGGAGGAGTAAATGCTGACGAATTCTGTTCTATAATATTTCATTTAATCTGTACAAAACTTGATTTGTCACCACCCGTGAACGAAATAATAATTTTTAGTGACGGTTGTAATTACCAGAATAGGAATTCAATTTTGGCAAATACATTCTTGCTTGCGTCTGTCAAAATAGGAATAAAAATTACTCAAAAAATTTTAGAGAAGGGCCATACACAAATGGAATGTGATGCTATGCATGCCACTGTTGAGAGAAAATTGCAGAACCGAGAAATTTATTCTCCAAGTAATTACATAAAAATATGTAGAACTGCCAGAATTAAACCGAAACCATATAATGTTGAATGGCTTGAGTATACTTTTTTCAAGAAATTTAGTAGTTTAAACTATGTCTCGTCTCTGAGACCGGGTAACAAAGCAGGCGATCCTGTAGTGGCAGACATAAAATGTATTCAATATTGCCCAAATGGGGAGCTAAAGGTAAAGACAAGTTATGAAGATGAGTATTCTAATATTCCACGCAGAATTAAAATGCCTCTTGTAGAAGACTTGGAACGAATCACACCTTTATATCAAAACAAACCGAAGATTACAGCTATAAAATTTAGACACGTGCAAGAAATGAAACGTGTCCTTCCAAAAGAGGTGCACAATTTCTATGATTCATTAGCACACGAGTAAAATAAATTCTTTTCTAAAGCTATAGAACATAATCATTATATTTTATTAGTTTTATTTTGTACTGAAACTTTGTAATAATTTCTTAATAAATGTATTTAATGTGATGTTGAGGCTGGCTTTTTTAATTTTGATATCTGAAAATATCGTAAGTCAGGTAATTTCTAGAATTTTGTTATCTGAAAAAGTCGTAAGTCCAAAAAAAATTTGGTTTTCTCCATAATTCCTACTCATTAAGATTTTTTTAATATCAATTTCATTGTATTAGTCTAAAAACTAATATGGTACCAAAAAGTTTACAGCCTACAATAATATAGTAGTTCCAGCCAACTGGCTACATCAAAAATGCTATACTTATCTGGATGAAAGAATTTTAGAAACGTCATTCCAATAATTTATCCCTCCGGACCCCAGAAGGTTGTAGTCTTGCCAGGTCAACCGGTTTTAATGAATTTAACGTTGAAACGTTTTTTAGTAAATTTGAAACTGTCTTAAAGCGGTTCCCGGTGTTTGGAGATGGTAGTCGCATCTATAATTTAGATGAAACTGGAACCATTACCGTTCAAAAGTCCCAAAAAAGTGTTTGCAGAAAGAGGTATAGACAGGTTAGTAAGATTACAACTGGCGAACGTAGAACGCTCATAACAACATGCTCATAACAACATGTTGTTAACCATTTTATTAAGGACACTGGCAGTACCAAAGAAAACCCTTCTTTATTGCTAATGGATAATCATCAAAGTCATTTTTCGATTGAGGCAATCGATTTATGTAAAAATAATGGCATTACCTCTACAGCCACACTGTACGAACAGATTACAGCTGCTGTACGTAGGCTTATTAAAACCATTTCAAACTGTCTATAATGCTGCAGTAGATGCATGAATGATGAACTATTCCTTTCAGACATTTACAATTTATAACGTAGCAGCCTGTGTGGGTACAGCATATCTACGAGCAATGACGCCAGCTGACATCACAAGCGCTTTTCGAAAGACTGGAATATTTCCATTTGATCGGCATGTCTTCACTGAAGAAGATTTTTTGTCAAGTTTTGTAACAGATAGGCCACTTATTGCAGTTAAGGCTGCTGCTGAAAATATAAATGAATCTCTAGATGTAGAAAATCCAGGTCCAATGCTGATACCACGAAAACCTTTGTTAGCCCAACAGTTTTTAAGGGTTGTATTAAAGCTCCGACAAAAAAATCTGGGTGGGGGGCAACAAAAAACGCAAAGGAAAGACGATGATAGCTACAGATACCCTGGAAAAAATGGAACTGAATAAATCTAAAAAAAAACACCAAAACAGAAAAAAGTATCTAGGCGAGTATTAGATAGTGATTCTGGTGAGCAAGTTGAACATGATAAGGAATTATAAGATTCCGGCAGAGGAGAGGATTTTTTGGTGAACATCCCGAACCAATTACTCTCGAAGATCTTGAGCGCTGTCCCAATAATGGGAATTATGTGCTTGTTAAATTTATCTCTAAGCAAAAGACATAGGTACTATGTAGGCAAAGTCTTGTCTCAAATAAAAGAAAATTATTTTAAAATATCGTTTTTAAGAAAAAGCGCTAAATATAAAAACAGGTTCTTTTTTCAGTTGTCCCAGATGTCTTACATGTATTAAAAAGAGACATTAAAATGATTTTGCCACCCCCTGTAATTCAAGGGTTAACTAAGCGCTAAAGTTTGCTTTTAAAATTTGAATTAAACTTTGACAGTCGTAAAATAATGATAATTGTTAATCTTCCCAAGAAAGAATATGAATGTGCAACACATGAAAGGTACTCCTCCTGGATCGATATCAGCCGTTCATCCTAGTGGTTGGGTGCAGTCTAATTTATTTACACAACGGTTTAAGATACCGTTAAACCCTCTAAAGAGTTTTCTGTACTTCTTATATTGGATGGACACTCTACTCGCAATTTAGATGTGATCAATCTGGCAAGGGAGAATAACATAGTAATAATTTCAGTACCTCCACATTCAACACACAAGCTGCAACCGCTAGACAAAACTTTCATGGAAACGCTCAAGGCATACTTTAGTAGTGAACCAGGTCCTTCTGGTTTGCAGAAGTTTGTAAGTCCATTTGAAATATCACCAGTACCGTCATTGTATCCAGCCATCGTCAGTAAAATCATTGAAATTAACGGTAATACCTTCTTCACCTTACAAGGAAGCATTAGACCAGCAAAACAGCAAAAAGAAATGAAATGTGCAGTAAACAACACATTACGGCTGAGTACACAAGGAAGGTGACGAAGAAAAAAATTAAAGACAAGTCAAAGAGGCGACGTAAAAACGAAATCGAAAGTTCTTCTGACAACGATAGTGACCAGGCATTTCAACCAGCTGATGAAGATACCTATGGATTTGGAAGAGATTCCTGGTGTAACGGATCCGGAAAATACGGATGTAAATTGTATTTTCTGTGACGAAAAATTTTGTGGGGATTAGGTATCGAGATGAAAAATAGATTCAGTGCCTTATGTGCAACTTGTGTGCACATATAGATCGTTCTGGTGCAGAAAGAGACGAATATGTGTGTAAATATTGTACAGCGTGTGAATTGTAAAAAATTATAAAATAAAAATAAAAATATTTTTACTAGTAGCCCATATTTATATTACCTTTCCGTTTATTACCTTAAATTACAGCGTGAGTGTTTTTATGAGATTACACAAAAAACTATCTTACTAGGCAGAAAAACGCACTAGCACAAAAGAGCAAAACAAGTCTACATGCCAATTACCTATGTAATTTGAACTTTTTCGATCAAAAAATAGTCAAGATATCAACAATAAACTAAATGGTAGCCCATATTTGTACCTTCTCCTTTAAGATTACATATTTATTTCCTTTCTTTACTATTTCTGGACACCCCATGTACGTCACTCTGCGCCCATGCATATCCAAGTAAAACACTCAGAGACAGCTACTGGTTTAGCTACAAATAATTTTATGTATACATATTTCGAATTAATTTCACGATTTTTCTGTATTGATTAAATATAATGAATGAGTATAATGAATCAAATGTATCAAAAATTTTTAACTAATTATATAAAATAGTTTTAAGTTTTAAATTAATTGCAGAAAAGGATAAATACATTCATATAAAGTAGGAAGAATAAATTTTTACTTAAATCGAGAGATGGCAGCGTAGTAGAATGGAGCATTGCCAAGTGTAACAGTTTACTAAGAAAAATCCTTCTTTTTAAATTGATAATTTAAGATTATTCTTTTATTTATAATACACAAAAAACAATTTTGCATAGATTCAGTTCGTTAATAAAATTTGTTATTAAGAAATTTATTATTATTTCAAATAAGGTAAAATAAATTATCAAGGTGTTTATGTATAAAAATTTAAGCAAAATTTTATATAAATATGGCAATCAACGTTATTAATCATCTGATTGAAACGTATCAAACCGGCTGTTTTTGTTTGGGTTCTTGTTTCTTTGGTTTCATATTGTTTTTGTTATTAGTGTGATTAATACAATAATTGTGACAGTGAAAATTGTTACTTCGGAATAAAGGTATATATTTATTTTTTTTTTAAGATTAGTAATTTCATTTTTGAGTTATATTTCATTTGTATAGATTATGTTTAATTAAGGAAATAATATAGATGTATTTTTCCATAGATAAATAACGCTATTTAGTTGATTGTTAACAAAGAAATCAAACTATAATATCTCTGATCGTTAAATATATTTCCTTTTCTTCCAGTTGTAAATTTGTGTGTCAATCTACTTTTTTTTATTTTCTTTACATCACAGTGTTAGTTGTTTTTTTCTCTTTTAATGTTAATCAACATTTTTTTCATTTATGTTAAAGGTCAGCAGTTTATCTTAGTTTTTGTTTAAATATCATCACTATTTGATGGGGTGATGTTAATTCAAAAACAGAGTATGTGTTTCATAATAACAAAAAAATTAAAAATTGGCCTTCCTGTTAAGTCTTCATCTTCAATGGATTTGTTTTCCTTCAATCTTTTATTTTGAATTTTGCAATCCAATTTTTCAAGGTTACATAGTATGAAGGACATTCTTATCAACTACTTATATTAAATTTTTCAGTTCTCACAATTTTGGTCAACATTTTATTACAGTTACAGTTAAACTTTTTGATGTTAAAATTTACACTGACACTTAAATATATATGTTTATATACAGAGAGACATTGTGAAGAAAGGCAATGGATAGGGACAACTGGAGAGAAATTTTTTGAAGAGGCTAGGACCCACACACAGGGTTGTAAAGCCAGAATGATGATGATGATGTATATACACAATAAAAATTGTATGACACATAGAACAGTTTTTAGGTCACCTGGTATTACTTCTTCTTTCCAGATCTTAATTAAGAGTTCACATTGTACATTTTTTATTTATTCATGAATTCTGGTCAGGTTAAATATTGCTGCCCTAATACGATATAAATAAACTTTAGCAGAAATATATAGTTGTTTTATAAAAATGTGTCTCAAATCAGCATGGCTAATAACCTGAGCGGCACCTTATTCATAATACCAATTCCATAATTGTGGAACCCTGTACCAGCTTGTAACTGTTTAGTAAATGGGTACCATATGTTTTTGGAGTCACTTGTTAGTCTCCAGACAGGATGCTGCCTTTGACCTAGTACCATGCAATTATGTATGTATGTATTATGTATTATATTATATATGTATGTATTGTATTCGTTTTTATCTTTATTTCTGACTTCTCTTCTTTGATCCATAAGCCTTAGTATTTCTTCTCTCATCCACCCTTGTTTTTTTCTTGCTTTTATCGCACTCAATTTTGTTCCTTGAACAGTCTTTAAGATGTCTTAATTCTCGTCCAGTTTTCCTCAGTACTTTCTTCTTTGCTTGATGTTAACTTCATTTTTTGTTCTAATATACTAGTTATTTCTTGTTTTACAGTATCATTTAGCATCTTTTCTCTATCAATAGTAGCTGTTTGCTTATTCATCCTTGCAACTCTTTTTAATCTCAGTCTTATTTTTCTTACTAAAAAATTGTGATCTGTTGGTACATCTGCGCAGGGATATGTTTTTACTGCTAATAGTGAATTTCTGTATCTCTTATTTATACATATGAAGTCTATTTGGTTACGAACAATTCATTCAGGTGTATCTGCTGGTGATTTCCAGGTGTAAAGACGACGTTTTGGAAGTTTGAAAATTGTGTTTGTTATTACTAATTGCTTTTCTACGCAAAAAGATGCCAACATATCTCCTTTTTCATTTCGTATTCCCAGACCATATTTTCCTATGATATATTCCTGTTCATCTTCACCAATCTTTGCTTAAAATCTCCCATGATAATATTGAGATCATGTTTCTTTGTAGGTGCTTATACTTTTTCTAAATCATGATAGAATTTTTCAATGACTTCTTGTTCATAGTCTTGTGTGGGTGCATATACTTGTAATATGTTCACATTGATTGTTGTTGATTGTATTTGTATCATCAGTATCCTATCTGAGAATAGGATGACGTTTTTTACAGCTGTTTCTGTTTCCTTCGACACAATTATTGCTACACCATTTTTGTGTTTTGAGCTGTCTTTGAATAGTATACAATGTGATCATCTACAGTTACTTTTCCAGACCCTGGCCATCTCATATCACTTATTCCAAGGATACTTATATTTAGACGCTTCATTTCGTTAAAGGTGTTGTGAATTTTTCCTGGTTTGTATATGCTTCTTACATTCCATGTACCTATTTTTCCTTCTTTATAAAATGTGTTCATGTTTCTAGCTGGTCGGGAGATTCTTAGCACCCCTGCTCCATTTAAGGAGCGCCCGTACTCGGGGCCATTGTATTTATCAGCTATTTCCATGATTGTTTCTTGGGAAAATTAGGTTCTAGGTGGTTTCCCGTTGCCTTCCTAGAGTGTGTAATAGAAGGAAATATAGTGACCCGTCTGGCCTCGTAAACCTAATAGCCATTCGGGGTCGGAAGAAACAAGAGTTAGCCAAGAGAGGCCGATAGGAAAGATTAAAGACATTTCACTCAACACAAGTTGAAAAAGAGTGAAATGTGAAGGCCCTTATGATGCGCCAGGTGCGTTTCATAAGCGTGGATTGTGGATTGCTACACCCGATCGTTCTGCAGTTTTGCTTTATTCCTGTCAACCTGAAAAGGTACTTTAGACTTATATTTAGGTACCCTATAGTCAGAAGTCACCATCGATATGGTATCCCTAATTTTTAATTGCTTAATTATATTCCTTATTTTTTCTTTGTTTTGTGGCCAATGCTTTTACATCATTCTCCAGAATTCCATGTTCTATATTATCATTTTTTATGTTGGGATTATGTGTTCTGGTTTACTTATTAAGGCCCGTTATTTGCTTTAATATAAGGGTTGTTACAGAAAAACTTCTTTCTACATTATTTGTTTCTTGGTAGGATTTTTTTATCACTTGTATTTAGTTTTTGTTATATTGTCTTTTTCAAACAGATTTTTAATTTTTTTTATATTTATATACTTATGTTCATGATATTTTCCATTGCTATTTGTTAGTTTTAATTGCCTTAAAATTTTAGGTTTAAATTATAACATTAAAAATAAGTTGTAAATGTTATTGACTGTATATTTTGCGATGATCGTAAATTCTATAAATAACAAAATCTTTACCACAATGTTCAATGATGTAAGAAAGGTTAATAGATAAGCTTATCAGAATTTATTGTTTTGCCTTAGTTTATGGCTACCATTATATTTATAGTGGCTACAGTAAACAATTAAATTGAAAATGTATTTTTTCTAAAAGATATTTATACTGCTTTATTGACTTCTGATATAATTTTTTTATCCTTGTTAATATGGGCCGCATTATATTTATATTCTCCTGACATGAGTTAATAATGTCCTGTCAATGTTGATTCTGATCCCCAAAATACGAATGCAAATAAATGCTCCGATCATGAAAAAATTAGTCTGATGAGCCACGCCCTGAAAGCCTTCCTCAGCATTATTTAAACACGAGTATGCAAAAAGCTAGATAAAAGCGACATACAATTTGCCTCAAGAAAGGAGCTTGGCACTCGAGAGGACCTATTCGTCTTCGAAAGCTTCATCTACTTCGACAAACCCTTCGATAGAGTCAAGCATAGCAAACTCATCTCAATCTTACAAGAGTCGGGAATAGACTCTTATATAGAAATCTATACCTACAACAAAAGACCTCCTATCATCAGAGAAGTTGTAACGTAAAGAGAGGGTTACGTCATGGTTGTGTACTATTGCCATATTGATTTTTCACGATCTAGCCGGAAGGCATGGGTATTGCTACGTAGACTAGGTGGAGCCGTTAGAGAGAAACGCTTGAACAAGAACAGTATCGATCCGAAAAGGATAGCTAACAGAATAGTTGAAGTATCGCGTGCCCCCTCTGACAAAATCCATACGACGTCTACAAAAAAAGCTCTAAAAGAACTTAAGACAAACACTACTCCTACATCAGAGTTTTCAAGATGCTTCTCTCTGAACGAAATAAACGATGGCCTCAGTCAAATTAAAAAAGGCAAAGCGGCAGGTTTCGATGGAATGTATCCTGAGTTCCTAACTGTGGTCCAAAAACGCGACACTGGCTCAAAGACTTTTTTAGTGACATAATGAAGACATCTGTACTACCTCCAGAGTTCAAAAGAACCAAAGTTATTGCAATTTTGAAACCTGGAAAGGACGGTGAACTACCCGAAAACTATCGACCCATTGCCCTCCTCAGTTGCTGCTACAAACTACTAGAGCGACTTATATATAACAGGATATACCCCATCACCGACACTGTGATACCAGTCGAACAGGCCGGATTTAGAAGCGGGCGTAGCTGTAGTGATCAAGTACTGTCCTTAACGACATTTATTGAAGCCGGTTTCGAAAAACGGGAAAAAACAGCCGTAACGTTTATAGATCTGACGGCTGCATATGACACTGTGTGGTGAGAAGGCCTGATCTACAAGCTAATGAAGGTCATACCCTGCCTGAAAACCTGCCAACTAATCAATAACCTCGTAACCAACAGACTGTTTCAAGTATATATAAACGATACAAAGAGCAATGTCAGAAAGCTAAATAATGGCCTCCCACAGGGTTCAGTGCTTGCTCCACTATTATTTAACATTTACACAGCCGATCTTCCAGAGATAAAATCAAAAAAATTTGCTTACGCAGATGACCTGGCTATCGCATTTCAAAACCAAGCCAAAGATGTTGGAGAAAGGGTGCTTACCGAAGACTTAAGGGTTCTCTGCGACTACTTTAAACAATGGCGACTTCGCCCTAATACAAACAAAACTGAGACAAGCCTCTTCCATCTCACAAATCAGCTTTCGGATGACACCCTTAGCATCACCTTCAATGGCGAGACTTTGAAACATAATAACAACCCTAAATACCTGGGTGTAACGCTCGACAGATCACTGACGTTCAAAACCCATCTTACGAATGTAGCTGCCAAAGTGAGAACCCGTAACAACATAATAACAAAGGTTGCTGGAACGACATGGGGTGCCACTGCGG